AGTAAAACAGGCTATTTATGAATGCACGTCCATACCCGTGATGAAACAAAGAATTATTTTTGCTGGCAAACAGCTTGAAGATGATCGAGTTTTCTCGAATTATGGTATCCAAAAAGAGAGCACTGTACATCTTGTGTTTCGAAATGTGACCCCAACTGCCGACGTGCCACCGCAGCCTGTTAAAGAAATCGTATCGAACGATCGCCGCTGTGATATTTTGTAATTACAATCAAAATTAGATATGAACATGAATTAGTCTTGAAAATAGGATTTTGAGAAGTTTCGTGCTTATAGAGCGATGTTTATAAAGCCACTTTTGAAATATTCTGTAACATGATACATAGAATTCTTTCTAGATTCCTAGAAAAGACGAACTCTATCTTCATTTTGTCGAATTTTTAATCATTTGACACAAAATTTATGAACAATGATTCAAAAATTGCCGCCTTTGATGACGACGTATAAAACAAAGAATCATTTTCTTAATCATTGCTATACAAAGAACTCCATTGTCTTTATTTCATCCGTCCTAATTTCTAAGTTTGTCCATTGAAAATTTTAAAACTGTTCCGTAAAGCGGCATTATTTCATCTGTTGAAACATGTCACTTTTATGAGTTTCTTGAATGCGAATGAATCATACAATTGGCGAGCAATTCAATGTAATTTAGAATAAATACAAGAAGCGCCGTTTTTTGGTGAATTATATTCTCTGGCGATTGATCTAAGAAATTGATTGGGTTTATTGTATTTATTGTAAATACAATAAAAACGTTTACACTCACTACATCGATTCTTATTGATTGTGGCGAAATCAAGGATCTCATTGTTTTCTTTCTAATCAGAAAACATAATAAAGGTCTAAATGCTTTTTGAAACGAGGTTGTATTGTCACTGACTAACCATCTATGATCTATCGTCTAGAAGTGTTCTTGACTGTTCATGAGATGACATGAATGCTGTTTAAAACTCTTGCCAACGCAGGAAAATATTAGGGTGTGGATGTGGGTGGGTATGAGTGTTCTGTGAGTGTTTATCTTCTATTAACCCACATCCACACCTCTCACCCACTCCCACACCCTGTGAGCGTGGATGTGAATGAAGAGAAAACTCCTACATGGAGGGTGTGGATGTCGATATTGAAGAATTTTATGTCAACACCCACACCCATACTCACACCCACACCCCACACTTCACACCCACAACCGCACTCCCACACACCCACATCCTAATCGTTCATATTTCACGAATAATATTGATTTAACTGAAGAAAAACATTATGATAAGTTACATAAAACTATATCAATTCGGTTTCAAGCATAATAACTGTGAGAAATGAGTACATCAGCCAGAACTGCCAGTTGATCTTCAGTGAATTGTTCTCGATGTTCATGCCACGAATCATGATGAGTACGACGAAATTCTGACAAACAGTTTCTAATCGATTTCTAAAGACAAAAAATATGGTACATTCACATAATAGCAGATTGGGAAAAACACACTTGTATTATATCGGGATCATGCGAATGTTCACAGAGAAACATCAATGCATCTGGTACATAAGTTGGAATATCATATGGACTTGAGAGAACAATGGCACAGAGTCCCAAAACACCTATAACGATAGTCAAAATTATCGACAGTAATGAAACATGTGTTTTTGAAGCTTTTCTACTAAATACAATATTCAAAGACGCTGATCTGCATGGAATTCATTCCACTTGAAGACATTCTCTTTTATTAATATTGAAAAAAGACTTTTTAATGCAATTTTTGTTTTCCACTGTTTCAACAGGAAGAAATCCGAACTTTTGATAGACCAATCAATCTAGTATAACTCTTAAAAGCAAGAAGGAATCGATGGATTCCAAATCCCATGGGAATTCGATGCAAATCGCAGGAATACTTGAATTAAATATCTGAGCAACACTGAACTTATAACTCATGCTCATGAATAACAAATATCATTTCATTCCTTTAATATTTTGAAACCTATTCTTCTAAGAGACCCATATAGACGTAAGGAAAATAAGGGTGGAGATGAACAGAAGACGCAGATTCACATCCTCATCAATATCGTTAACTGAACATTCGTTGGCTATAGAAGCGACTGCTTTCTAACGAAATAATGTAAGCCAAAGAGTGACATCTAATACGATTATTTGTACAGGTCCAATAGTTGAGAAATCTCAAAGGCTTTGCACAATGGCGCTGATATTGATTCATAGATGGGTGAATCGGACTACAATTTTAAATTCGACATAAAATATATTGTTAAAATTGAACCAAGGGACTAGCTCCAAAGACAAACTTGCGGTCTTTTCATTTTATCCAATACTTAGTAAGTCGTAGTTCCTCGGTCAATACTATTCTTCCTACACTGATCAATAATGATCTACCCGTTAATATTAATACAAAAACAAAGCATAAGTAAATAATCTATTGACATTTTACCAAATGATAGGAACGATATACTAACTGATTAGCTTACATTGTTCACTATCCGGCTCACTTAATAAAATAGACATGATTAGTGAGGAAACGTAACAAGTTAGTTGTAATCGATGTTACTTAGGTTTTTGCTGCCCTCTCATGGACAAAGGAAAATGAAACAGAAGAGCTTTTTTGTGTCACTAGTGTTGATGCATATCTTATAAGAAAATTTGTCTAGACTTAGTGATGACTAAGCTCATTTTTTGCGTCGGATAAATCAATATCACTCGACTTTCACAATTCAAGGAAAGCTTGGAGGTACCGATTGAATCTTCGAGAAAAAGACAGACAGCTAGAAAACAAAAGGAATATAAATCCGGAACTCGATGAGTATCTCGAATATTCGAGTAAAGGTCAAAGGATCCAGTACATGTGAAATCTGTTTTATTTCCAATTCAAATCCAATGAGTTGAACTTTTCATTAAAGTTTCCAAAAATGCCACAAAGAACGAGAAAAAGAGTGCTTAGAAATAATCAGCACCAAAATTATCTCATGATCTTCTCCTTTATGATAATTTTAAGAAGACTATTTATCAAGTTTATAGTCTAGCCTATAATCTTCTTTCCAGGTTTGATGTTAACTTTCTTTGGAAGACAAAAAGAGAATCTGAGATCAGACAAAATAGTTCATTAGTACAAGTTTAGTGTGAAACAAAATCTGTATTGCATAACCTGACGAAAATAAGTACAACTCATTAGATTAAGAGTCAAGCTAGTACTTCAGATTTAATGTTGCTTTTTCATCTGAATCATATAAATATAGCTGATCCTAGGACCAATTTCATCCAATAAGAGTTTCCGAGCTAATTTCTCCTTCAGTCTCAACCTCATTTTCTCTTGTGTAAAATTTGATGTCAAAACAATATATTCATAGATAGAGAGCCTCTTGTCTTTTAGTAGACAAGAAGGCTGTGCTGCTATCTGATTGATTTAAGCATGTTCAATTGTCAAATTATTGAATGAACACAGGTTACATGTACCATGCCATAGATTCAATTGATTCGACATATTTCTTGTACTACTCATCAATTTATGTTTTTCCTTGCTGTTTAATATTCTGCCTCTGATATATTTCTATAAAAATAATAAAGTGAATTGTCGTGTTGTCAAAATGGACTTGATACCAATCTATTTAGGTTAACTGTATAGGATTTGCAAAATAGATAATCTTAACGAACCATCTTGTGGTATACGTATGAAAAATATGAACATCTAATGCAGGAACGTCATGTCGTATGAACACATCTTGGGAACTATGCATTTCACACACATAAGAAAAAAAAATCTATATAAGAAAGGGTAATTTCGAGTTTCAATCGCTTTCTAGATCGAACATTTTTCACTTGAAAATAAGTTTGACTTGTGAAAATATATCAATTGCTTTTAATCACAGTTTTAATGAAATGTTTTTTTCCATGTGCATGACTTTCTTGAGATTCTTGAACAAGAAAGTTATGTGTTATGGACAAACCTTGATGTATGCATAGGTCAAGCACACGAAAAAAAAGCTCAACTAGGAAATGATTTTCCTCAGTAGTTTAATGCAGCTTTTGTAACCATATGGTAAAGCAATGAAGTCTTGATACTGAGTTCTATGAGACTTTCAGGATTAGAGTGAGGATCAAAGAAGTTCAATATGAATTTCGACAATGTCATTTGTGATTATAAAAAAATTGATTGTATCTTAGCACTTAAACGTTGCACTGCGTTCATTTCATCATTATATACATACTTACCGCCATGCCGTTTAGCAATATTGTTCGATAATGTGACGTTCTTGCCATCGCTTTTGGTGCAATAATTAGTCTTGCTCATCATATGAAAGTATTTCTTTTTACAATTAACATATTAAAAAAAAATCTTTCAAGAAAAGAAAAGGCAAGAACATCCTACCAGATCTTCATTAGTCACTTGGATGTAGTTGCATTGGTAGAAACCAGACAAAGTCATCAATGCAGCTATTCGCACTTCATATTGTTCATCAAATAGACATGTGAGTACAAGTTTATGCAATTGTTTAGCATAAGGACGAGCATTAAATAGATTGCAAAAGATCATATTTTGTGCAAACTCAATGCCCGCTCGACGTGCATGCCATTTTGAGCTTGTAAAAACCTGCGTATGAGACGATAAAGAGATAATTTGTAAAATCTTTTTTTGAACATATACTTGTTCTAATTGTTGAATAAGTGCTTCTAAAAGGTTTGCATTTAAAAAAGACATGCCGACATATAGTCGACTGATTGTTAATTTTTCTCTAAAGACATTGCCATTGGTCGCAATACTTTCGATTTCACATAGCTAGAACAATTACGTGTTGGAAAGTTTTATATTAGCAAGTTGATATGTTTACACAAGCCTAATCTAAGTACATACATAAGGAAAAAGACGAACTATGGCATTTTTTACTGGTTGTTGACACCAGAAGAAGAATTGCATGTGCATATCAATCACTACATTGCATTTCAAAGAAAAAGATACACCACCCTATACTGCACTTTGTAAACATCAAGTGATTGTATTTTTACCTGCTTCAATGAAATTCAACGCTTTGCGTGCTTCAACATCAATGCCAACTACTTCATCCGATATATTGACTGAAAATGATATTGAAATAAAAGTAAACAGAATTCTATCTTACTTAATGATGTCCTTTCATAAATTTCAATAGCTTGACGCAGTCGTTTACATATAGTATCGATAAATTGACTAGTATTAGGTTGGCGTGTCGATTTTCCATTGAACAATGTTACATCAAAGCTAATTGATATTGATAATATACTAATAACAAAAAAAAAAACGTTCTGATTTTGTATTACAAATAAACTCGGATCTGTTACTTACCTGGCAATACCTTCCCGTACATTCTTGTATGGATGATCGAGAAGTACTTTGGCATAGTCATTAATCTCACACCAAATAGATGGAATACGCCATTGAAATTCATTTAAATTTTGTATTAAAGTCCAGCGACATATTTCGTTGAATGCATTCAACATTGTTTTAGTATTGATCAATGTGCGAATAAAGCGAATGAGTCGATACATACGACGAGGATCTTTATTCTCCTTTTAGATATAGACAAGTTTTAGCGAGAGAAAAGGTACACAACTGACCATACTGTATTTGAAGCATGTATTCCAGTAGGAGTGAGTTTCGGAATTGAGATTTGTACAAACTTCAGTGAGAAATGGTGTGAGCTTTTCCCAGAGTTCATTAAGCTAAATAAAAACAATAAAGCATCTTGTATTTACTACCATCTACGTCTAATTAGGAAAAAAACGAATTGATGCTTTTTTTGATGATTCAAATTCAATTATGACGTAAAGTGAACATATTTGACTTACCATTTCTAATGTCCAATATTTCGAACCACAAATCATGCCAGCCACTATTTCAGCTGCCACTCGATGACTGCCTGCCTGTTTTTCTTTTGTTTCTTCATGAATAAGCATGTATAGTTGTTCCATGAAATTCTCCAGGAAAGCAAGACCGAAATTGCGAAAGAGACCCTAGATGATCAAATAAAGTATTCATTTACATGAGACTTAAGAAAATCACTATAAAACAAATTTATTAGCTGAAAAAAATTATTACAACAAATTTATTCCCAGAATCGGTAGATTTTGTACTCATTTCACTTATATGAAAAAGCTTGTTAGCACAGCCTCTTTGGCGCTAAAATGTGGAACTCGTACGTCTTCTAATATCATTATAATAATACAAAAAAACAACTAAACTGACGAAGATCTAACAGATGATAGTTGCTCTCCAATGATAATAAATTGTCAGTATATCGCTCTACCTAATTTCTTTTGGTATTTCGAATATATATTTCTTTCGCTTATTTTTTTTTGGCTGCCGCTCCATTTCGTAATTTTTTTTTTGTTATTCGTACGTTATTTCTTTCTTTTTTTTATTTCGTTTTTCTTAGTTTACATTTACTTTTATTTTTCTCATCATTGATTTAACTGACTAATAAGCCTGTTGCATATATTTATTGAATTCCACAACAACTCTAAAAACGCTATTATGTATCTCCATAAACACAGAAACACTGATATTAATTATTTCCGAAAGTTAAAATTCAGTTAGTTCATNGTTAAATAGTTGCTCACTTTCAACCAGGATTCGATCTATTCAAATTACTCTTAATCATAAATGGCTTGATTTTGGAAATGATGACTGGAATGCCTTTCGTAAACTGACAACTTTGCCGATGTTGAAGTCTTTACGTGTACTTTTGCGTGGTATACGTATTCCACCAGATGACAAAAGTTGCCAAATTATTGCAGAAACAGCATCAATGGTCTCTGATTTTTGCTTTTGCTTTCGACGTCGTGGTGATCGAAATGAATATGATATTGATATAGCATACACGAAGCACTCTTTATTCATCAAACAATTACGAAATCGTATTCTTGCTTTACCAGTAAATGAAAACCCGTATATTGTTGTTGAGAAATATAGTTTTGATTAATAAATAAATATCAGATCATTTTAATTAGTTATGATTATAACAAAAAATGCAATCTTATTTTTAGCTTTTTATTTTCGAAGAAGAAAGAAACTGATAAAATTTAAAACCTCTAAAGACTGACAATTATAGTTGTTAATTTTTATCGCAAGAGAGCTTATATAAGAAGTTGATTTGATCCATTGAACTTTTTCAAACTAAATCCAGCACAATCACATATAGTATGCAAGAACTTTAATCGAAGAGTACTATGATACCAAATTTGAGCTATGCTTCAGATACTTTTGAGAATTTTCTCAGCCATACACTAAGCATATGAATGTGCTAACTTCTTTCTTGAACTCGATAAGACACGCATGTGAAACTAAGCTTCTTTGCATATAAGTTGAGAAAAAAATCGGAACTGCTTCGAAATGCATTCGATAGTCTCAGTTTCAGGGTATATTTGTACTTGAAAGTCAACTTGTCAATCCATCGTTTTACAAAATTTCAAGGTATGCAAGAGTTCTGCTGGCAATTGCATAACGATAATACCTTAATTTTTCACATCAACTTTTAACATGTAAAATCAGAAGAAACCTGGTTCTATTATAGCTTGTTAGATAGCATTTTTCACGGCCTACACAACCCTATAACTTTTAAAATTATTAAAGGTGAGCCAAAACACAGTTAAGAACGATACTGAAAAAACGATGTTAATATAATATAACATAGTTGATTTATCATTTTTCTTAAAATCAATACAAGCTAGATTCCATTATAACTTATGAGGTGACATTTTGCATGAACGATAAAATCGTGTTATGCGCTCAATCAGAAAAGTGAAGCCGCTATGATGACATAGGCACATACTACTGTCGTCGGTCTCAAAGTTCGTATAGTAACTCAACTCCTGATGTTCGAGAAATCGGTATGTGCCCTCTTGCAACAGCAAGTCTCTGGTATCTGACTGTCGAAAGAGATGTTGTTTCAACATTTTTTCATCCACTTGCTGCCGTAAAGCCGCTGGATGTTATTGATGATAGCATTTAGTTTTCCGACGAAGAAAGCTACTCAGATGACGATAATTAATCGTCTCTTTCGTTGACTAATACAAAAGACGATAACGATGGCAGCAACGAAGACTCAGGTTGGTGACTTCATTTCGTATCTCGTAAACTCTTGCAAGTACTTTGCAAAAATTCAGTGCTTTGCTTATCGCTATTTTCTGTAGCAGCATAAACAACAAACACAGCATCAAAATAATTCAAGAAATTAGTAAGTCACAGATTTTAAGGTCCAAGTGAAGTGATGTCATTGAACCAAAATCTCAAATGAAGTTAAGCTTCACTTCACTTTCTTATCTATGATTAATTCAGAGAGAACGTTGTTATTAGACTCATATCAGATATGATCAATAGTCTTATGTTTAACTTTTTCTGTTCAACATCGTGCAAATATGACAGCATTTGCATGATTGTCCTTTTTAATAGGACCAGGTAAGGCGCCAATAAGTTCTACTGCTACTGATGCAACCTAGCTAATAGTCCTAGGACAATGATCTAATACCGTTCGCAAAATCTTGACGGGTGTGGGTGTGGATCTCGATGTTACTGCGAGAGTTGAGAAAAAAGAAACACCCACACCCTACCAAAAATTCGCGCAGAACTCTTGTTAAACTCATCTAAATAACTATGTGAAAATCGTGGTAAAGTTTTTCGTCTTGCAAATCCTGAAAGTAGGGTTTTTAGATTAAATCATATGAATGAAGTCCAGTTTTTTTAAACCTTTTTTTTCAAATTTTTCTCCTAAGTATTCAAATGTGATTTCTATGTATAGAACTCTAAAAAAATCTATGAATATTTTACGTTCATTTGATAAATAAATACTTTCCATACTCTCTTCTGATTCACTGAGGATTCCAAAGACGATAAAATTTGTTTTCCGCTTTACTAATATATAATTCTGACTCGGAAAAAAGTCTTTTATTAACGGATCCTTTCCAAATTTGACGCCGATTTACTTTTTTTATCTGAACAAACTACAAAATATATAGAGCTCAGATTGTGTCTTTTTGAAAAATTTTCACATTTTTACTCATTTGTTGTCTGGAATAGAATCAAAAAGAAAGTGTAAACTTGTGAAAAGTGACCATTTTGAAGTATAAACAAAGCAACGATAAGAAATATTTAGGGTGCGTGTGAGTGTTGTTACAGAGAAGACCCACAAATACATATCACACTCTTGTAACATGAATTATGTCAAATCGAAAAAGATTCGCAACACGATCTACATATATGTATTATTATTCAATTCTATAGTTTTAAATATCATTGAAACAAAAAAAAAACTATCAATGTAAAAAAGATTCATTCAAATATTGACTAACGTAAGTATAGGAGAGAAAACATCTTTTTTTTAAGCCAAACTTTGTTTTTGATTTGCAATCTTATTTATGAATTTCTTTTCAGTTTAGCATCAGTAAGCATGATATGTGATAATCGATTGATCTGTTAGGATAATGAACCCATTGCTTGACATAGTTATAAAAATCAAAAGATGATTTTGAAACAAATCTGATCTACATTTATTTTTCATATAAATGATAAACAAATAGCAAGAAGATATATGTATTGAACAAATGAAAAGAAACATGTTACACCAAATATCGATCTATCTTTTTAATATAACGTTTTTAAGAACATGTTTTCATGAATAAAAGTGCATATTGATTTGTTTTCAGCAGATGCTATTAGAAATACCAACCAAGAACACAAAACAGTTATAAATCCACAAAATCGATAGATACTTAATCGGTCCTAAAATTGAATAGAAAAATATAAAGAAAAATGTTCTTCTCATTTTCATATCAAATATTCTTATATAATCATCGACATAGTTCAATTTAAATGTATATGCCTAGTAATATTGAAAATTGAAATTTTAATTGAGATTAGTTTTGAATCTTTTAGATCTGAAGTTTCTTTCCTTGTTGGTTAATACTTACTAAAATTAATGTTTTTTCATCGATATTGGCAAATAAATGATATCCTAATTCAACAATAATAACGAATTCTATTAACACCATGAAACTAATAATAATATATTCAATGTTATTTTTCTTTTGCCACCATTTGTAGGAGTTTCTTCCTGAAAATTTCAGATAGAAATTATCGATTATTAGAAATGAACTCATATATTATATTCACCTTCAACATAATAATATTTTGTGCAGGCAAGAAAAATACATTCAGTAGTACGTGCACATACACAGGCAATATCGAAGACTAGTATACCTATAATACCCAAACAAATGATAGGTATTATGATACAAAGTATGCATTGATATCGATAAAGAAAAGCCTAAAGTTAAGAAATTAAGATCTTGATTTTCACTATGATTTCATACTTACGTCACTGGACGTATTAATCAGATGTTGCTTGCACATTACTATCAGTTCACAACAGACAACATTAATAATAATAGCGAGACTAATGCATCCAAAAAGTTCAATTGTGTCACTCCATTCTGATCTTGGATAAAATAATCGAATACATGAGTCTTCCTAGAATACAGACAATAATAGAGTAATAGCTATAAAGTTGAAATTTAATTTTTCTAAATTGTCAAGTTTCTTCTAGAGATCATTAACATATTTCATTCTTATATTGACAAACCTGCTTGTTTGATTGCGTTTTTTGTTGATTAACATGAGACATGTTGTTTTGATTTGCATTTGTTGTTGCAATTCGGTTCATCTTTGGAGTAATTACAGTAGTTATTTGCAATGCGTTTCAAGTAGTATGTGGCAAAACGAATGCGCGTATTTATATGTCAATGAATAACAATGTAACAAAGACCGTTAACGGTTAGACATATCGATGAATCATTTTCTTCCAATGAAGCAAAATCGGCAACAAAACACAATACATATATATTGACCTTGTCTAACCATAAATTGTATTGGTTTCAATCACATGACCTAGTCCTATTGTCTTTTCATGACTATTTCGCTTCATCTTATCGGTCGTTATGTTATTATAGTCGATTTTTAGTGTTCATTTATTAAAATTTTTCAATATGTACTTTATCTAAAGAAATAGATCTTTTCTTTTCAACACATTGTTTGAAGAGAATTCTTGAAGATTATTCTTCCATTTTTTATAGTATTTTCCACCAATATTGAACAAAATGTGATCAATCATTTATGTAGAAGGTATTAATCTATTATTCCATAAACAAAATACAGCCTATCAAAAGAATTTGTCATAAATTTCTTATATTCTTTATCTATGGTTTCATAATGAACTACAAAAAGAGAGATTACACAACAAATGATACTTGATATTTTCATACATACCTAACTAATATATTTGAAATCAGCGTAGTTAACAATAATGATTCACTAACAACATCTATACAAAATAAAAGATTTTTCTTTTCAAAAAAGAACAAGGTGGATTCCTAAGATTTCGAACGTCATGAAGATATAATTGGAATCTTGAGAGTACAGCAAGAATCCCAAAAGTGCAATGGAAATCTCTGGAATTGTAAGAATAAAGAATTAGAAAATACTCTGTCGTGAAACGATGAGTGTGGGTGTGGATTTAGAGAAGACCTACATCTACACACGGATAAATCGGAAAATGATTTCATTTAAACACAGTTGTTGAAGTGCACTAATGTCAGTCGAATCGATTAAATTAGTTGATGCTGAGCTTAGTTGTCTTTGTCGCATTTGAATATTTTGCTCAGCTAGAATTATATGTCGACTTGAATACAAAGATTCTCTCATACAATATAATACTTAGGGCTAACCAAAAGTTCTAAGCCCTGTGTTTGAAGCACCCTGTCGGATAAGGTAACATATTCAGGAATGAGAAACCAAGTATACCATATTGTAGAGCATTTTTAGGCGCATCGAATGGTATATAATAAATCCTGTTTTAAGAAAACTTTGAAGGAACTAGAGTCAATTTACTGGTAGACGACTACACGCTCACATCGATACCGACAGCTAAGC